GCAAGTGAAGACTTGCATCTGAAGAAGTGAGGTTCTGACCCACGAAAGCTTATGCTCCCAGTACTTCTGTTAGTCTCAAAGGTGCCACAGGACCCTCTGTTGCTTTTTACAGATTCAGACTAACACGGCTACCCCTCTGATACTTAAGAATTCCCAATTCACACACTGAGGTTGAACCACTCTGAGGTTTGACAGGTTCTTGTCCCAAGATCAGGTCCAGTATTATTAAGATTACTGTTTAGTTGGGAACCCCGATGTGCAGAGTTGCAACACTCACACTTTAGGAACGCTTCTGTATTTACAATAGTTGAATACATTTAGCAAAGTCACAAATACTCTAACCCAGCAATGTAGACAGAGATAATACAGAATGTACATCTGAACAGATCTCTCTCCGCCTGCCCACTGACTGGGATACTTTTATGTTAGCTGACACCACTATGTCTCATGCATATTCAGCAGAAGTTTCTCCCCTCTTCCTTATTTGTATCTCCTCACCCTACTAATGTTGGGCTGTCCTTCTCCTATAGGTTAGTATATTAATGATCTCAACCTATCATATACATCAATTCATTGCCATGGCACTCTTGTATTCAGACATCTGCAGATGTTCCCATCCTAAGATATCCACAAGCTGATAAAAGCAACAAAGGGTCCTGTGGCACCTTTAAGACTAACAGAAGTATTGGAGCGAAAGCTTATGCTCCAATACTTCTGTTAGTCTTAAAGGTGCCACAGGATCCTCTGTTGCTTTTAACAGATTCAGACTAACATGGCTACCCCTCTGATACTTGACCACAAGCTGATGTTAGCTCATGTTCCTGTGGTTGGCTGGTATTGTTGTGGACAAACTTCCCCCTTCTACACTATTCTCAGTTCCCCAAAACGTAGGGATGACCATTTGGCACAGATAAATGGCTTAAGTTCATAGACCTCAAGCCTTAAGTTAACTGCTGAAGCCAATGTCTTATAGGATACAGGCCTGTAGATTCCTTCCATTACTGCTGAATAAAATAAATACTAAAGCTAGCCCTATGGGCTACACATCCAGTAGAAATACAGACTCTAATTCTACCCAATTCCCTTTCCATCATGGGTCAAATTCAGTCCTTCTCTAAACAGGTGCAATGCTGTACTTACTGAATATAAATTCAGCTCTCCCATTCTCCAATATTTGCCTTTTCTTTCCACTCCTATGTTTAATAGGTGGACATGGGAGATGGCTGACTTCCTTTCCACCCTCACTTGTAATCTCATTTGGCTAAAGAAATTCACAGAATTTAGAAATAAGAAGTTACCTGGTTTTATTTAACAGAGTATTACACTCACTGTTTCACTATTTCAAATTCCCTTTGAACATCTAATGTTATCAGATATGATATTTTAACCATTCTTTTCCTTTTTTAAAAAGGAAAATGCACATTACAATAAAACACGGTAGTGACAGACAGTCTGGGATAGTCCCCAGCAGATTCAAGTACAAGAACAGAACATTCTGAAACAATTCTTTCACATTGTGCAAAATCTCTCTTCAGTGCACTGTACTGTGAACACAGATAAGTAGGCGGACATCTGATTTACCAGTTCAACCAATCCACAGCAGGAACATCCAAAAGAAAGGCATGCAGTATTTAAATAGGGCATCAGGACAGCAATGTGGCAATATGTTGCCATTACAAATAATCCACAATGTGTTATGCATTATGGGAAGTGGCTCCCCCAGCTCTAGAATTATGCAACACTGTTTGGATGTTAAGTCCACTCTTCTCATCACTAAGTTAACTAAAAAATCAAAAACAAAAAAGAAGAATGTTGATCCAGAAGTATTCCTGGCTATGTCTCACTAGCCAATAGGTGAGCTCTTTCTTCATTTGTGCCCAGAGGGATCTGCAAATTGGATCTGTTCGAGAAGGCAAGGAAGGAAAAAGGGAAACAGTTTGATAGAGCTTCTGGATACTTTTGCATACATAATGCTAGCATTATTTAACAAAAACAAAAACCAACAACAACAACAAAAAAACACCCCAAAACAGAAGCAAGTGCATCTGTGCCCCCAGAAATGTTTCAAGTCTCTTTAATTACAAGGCTGATAGTGTGAAAAAACAAAAGTATGGTTGAAAAAAAATCTGTATTTTTCTTAATGAAAATCTTTAAAACCTGGTTTGAAATGGATGTAAATAAAAGTCTCACAGTACCTCCTTCTTCTTCGTAAGGCCTCTATGATATAGAATATTCCAATAGCTAGTCCCTTTAAAGAAACGGCCATCAATTATTACAGTTGTAATATTTGTGTAATATTTTACAGTTGCAGTCTGTAATAAAAGCAACAAGCAAGAATACTAGCTTTACTTACACTTAAGAACGCCCATCCTCCTTGTATGGCGGCAGCCCATTCAAACCCCAGCCTCTCATTTAGGTATCCACCTAATGTTGGTCCTACAAAAGCTCTAAATATATCAAAGAGAAGTAGTATGGGTACCTTAAAGAAGAGATTACAAAGGTCACAGATTCTTTATTACAATACTGTTGAGACAAGAGGTTTCAGATCTATAGCTAATGTACAGATGGCACAGGTTGCCCCGGTACAGGAGGTGACTGACACAGGGACTCTGTCACTGTAGTCCATGCACCAAACTCAGATTTAGTGGAGGGGGAAAAAAGCCTCAAAATAAAAACAAGCCTGTTTTCAAACTTGGGGCCCATTGACTCCTGAGCTCATGCAGAGTCCCACCGATTTCAATGGGACCATGCACAGGCCTGTGCTAGAACTCAATGCAGGAGTGGGGCCTTGTGTTTAAAATTAGCCTACAGGTGTCCAGTTTTCTGGGGTGCTGAGCATCTTACAAGGGTCATTGACTTCAATGTGAATAGAACAGTACTGAAAGTACGGTGCAGTGTCATTCTCATGCAGTAGCACACATTCCTGTCTGTTTACAATTGACTTCACTTCTTGTGAAGTTAATGGAAAACAGAGAGGGAGGTAACTCCGTGTGGTTTCACTGTCCAAGATTGAGTCAACATATTAATATTTTTTATTATTTGTATTGATGTAGTGCCTAGAGGTCCAGGCCCATTGTGTTAGGCCCCCTTGACAGATGGTCTCTGCACCAAAGACTCAGGGGTGCTGCAACTAGGGGTGCTGGCAGCATGGCTGCACCTCTGGGCTTGAAATGGTTTCCATTATATGCCGGGTTTAGAGTTTTGTTCAATGGCTCTCAACACCCCCACTGTACAAAGTGTTCCAATGCCACTGCCAACAGCTTAAAATGTAAGTGTAAGCTGAGAGAACAGATAGATACAAACAGATGGGGGAAGTACACTGTAGCACTGAAACAGGTATCATTTGTGTAGCCAACACTAGTCACAAAACACCAGCAGCCTAGTTCTTGTCAGTGGTTTGTAACCCACCCATGCCGGGAGGCCCATAATAGAACTGTGAAGCAGAGACCATTTTAAAAAGCTGCTTCAATTTACACAACTTAAAGACGCATTTAGTAACAGGAGAGGACTGGTGTGAGTGACCTTGAACTGCACATATTTGTACTACGTCCACCAGGCTCTTGATGAACTCCCAGCATTGTTCTCAACTGTCCAGCACTAAGCAGGAAAGCCAGCATTTCAGTCACTTAGAAGAGAGAATCCCATCAGCTGCCAATACTGATGATAAAGTGGGACAGACTCAAATCCTGGTAAATGCTGCCCAAATGGGGCATTCTGAAGGGGTCCTGAGAGCTGAGGAAACTGAGGCAGGATATTGGAGAGCCTTATTTAGCCAGTAGGGGGCACTGCAGAGCAAGCAGGCCCTTTTACACACTTAAGCAGCCCAGCAACTTTAGGACCGAAATACAAGAAGTTTATAGACACTCACTGTGTACCTACCCAAGTGACCACATTGCACTGAAGAGCCCAGACACCAGTCCCAACACACTTAACCCCTCCTCGAATCCATTCTCACTGGAGAAAGACAGACAGGTTATTTCCACTAAGTACACGGCTTGCCTTTTAAAGTGCTCCCTGACTGGGAAATACATTAACGCGCACACAAGTGCATCCAGCACAGAGAAGCCTCTCTGCAAAGAGAATCCACAGCTTTCTACCCCTTGTCTTGCCTATTAAGCCACCTGGCACCACCTCCCTGGGAGAAGGAAGATAAGGACAATGCTAAGTGGAATTCCCAGCACTACAGTGTCACCACCATTGGCAGTGCGATAACTGGATTTCTCTGTCATACACAGTCGGTCTTGTGGGGCATAGGAGAAGGAAAGCTGACAGATGGGTCTGAAAAAGGATTCCAAGGAGAAATGCACTTTGGCTAAACATGGAACCAAGAGGATCTCAGCCCACTATGGCCAAGCAGCATGAGTGATGGGAAACTGTATTTAAAGTAATCCTGAATCCTGCTGATAGAACTGTTGCTGTAGGGTCTCCCAGAAAGCTAATTATATTTGCAGGATATTAACCTTTCCAGTGAGCTGAAATAAAGTCACTTTAATAGATATATACACATCAGTCTTGTGGCTTGCTATGCAAACCACCAAAACCAGCTGGACTCCATGACTCTAATGAGGTCATCAGACCCCCTTACCAATAAGTAAAATTCAAAAGTGCTTAGGTGATGTAGAAGCCCAGATCTCTCTTTAAAAAAAGAAAAAGAAAAGAAAAAAGAAAGAAAGAAAGAAAGGACACTTGAAAAAGTGACTTTGGCTATTTTGAAATTTTTACCCAACATTTCAGACTCAGATCAACAATTAATTACTCTCCCCCCCTCAAAGAATGAAATGGTAGTTGAAAATTGTTTGACCAGCTTCTAAGTAGTAGTAGTAATTAAAGTTGTGATAGACAGGATTACTTACTAAGCACAATGCAGCATCTCAGGGAACAGTGGGATACCAGACATCCCAAGGGAAAAGCCAGTCAAAACCAGCATTAGGACAAACATCCAGAGTGTGCTGCAAAATAAGCATTTAAAGAAGTTTTACACCATTCCTTTCCAATAAAGCTTTATTTAGGACTGTTATACCGGCTCTCCATGATTCAGAGACTAGTTTTCCCTTCAAAGCATCATTAGCTGTCTGAAAAATGGTCTTTGTGAAAAAATAAAGAATTCTGTGATTCCATGTTCATTGAATCAAAGATTTCCTTATGCAAGGAAATATACAGAGAATGGTTTTACCAACTGCTGACCCTGCAAATTCATTCTGGGATTGTTAAGTTCAAGTTACACCAGTGTAGATATAGAAAAGGGAAAAAACCCTATGCGTGCAGGTCTACAGTACAGGGCTAAGTCAACCTAAGTTACGCAACTCCAGCTACATGAATAACATAGTTGGAATTGACGTACCTTAAGTCGACTTATTGCGGTGTCTACACCACGCTGGGTCAACAGGAGAAACTCTTCCATTGACTTATGCTTCTCGTTCCGGTGGAGTACCGGAGTCGACGGGAGAGCAACTGGTTGTCGATTTAACCGGTCTTCACTAGACCCTCTAGATCAACAACCCGGTGGATCAATCGCCACACGTCAATCCCCCAGTAAGTGGCGACAAGCCCCAAGTTAGTTTCCTGAAGTTTTTCCTCCACCCACCCCTCCTCCCACAAATGTTTGAAAATGGTTATGTTCTTCTTCAAAAGTTAGAAAAAGAAGGTTCTATACCTTAGCAACCCTTGCCATCAGTGTCATTTCACAAATGTAACAGAGTATATCATTTGAAGAAAACAGGGGTAGGACAGGTGGCTTTACAAAAAGAATGCAGACTGTCTTCACATTTTTTTGGCAATTATTTTCTATTGAGAGGCATTTCAATGTCATAAATATCCACGGAGAGACAGGCACTGTAGTTTTTTACCTCAGCGTAGCTAGTTGAGGTAAACAGCAAACACAGGCTATAGCATTTACCTCACATAGCTACATTGAGATAAAAAAATACATTACCTGTCTCCCCTTGGATATTACATCAAGATGGCTCTCTCAATGGGATTCCCTCCCCCCACCCTGTGAAGACATAGCCGTAGTTAGTTCTTGGGACGCATAAGCCACAAAATAATTCACTTTGCTCTCCCACAGCTATGTTGGTCCTGGAGGACTTACCAGTAATAAGAAAACTAACCTTTATTATTCTCCACCCCACACACAGACTAAAGTGAGTAGATACAACTCTGAAAAGGCTCAGTTGACAAGTATTAGATAGAGATAAAAGGTGGTAAACTGTACCTTTCAATGTGCAAGATGGGAGCCGGTCCTAACAGGAAAAAGGACAGTGCGGTCAGTAAGCCCCCAAAGACCAACAACCATTTCCTTAGGTGCTGTGAAAGAGAAATCAATGGTCTGAAGAAATCCAAACTCAACCAAACTCTTATCTGTCAAACTAGCACAAACGCAAAAATAATGTGTTTAAGGTATTTCTGGACACCTCAAACCCACCAAGGAAAGGAAGATACTTGAGACTCATTCAGATGCATTTCCCTTCCTTCAGAAGCATCTCACACCTCACACGGTGAAGTGGAGAGAGGGATTTAGAATAACTGTCTGGAGAAAGTTAATATTCTCTCCCCATCATATCACAGTACAGGTCATTAAACTCAACATTAGTTATGGTGTCACAGTATTGCCTATTCCAAGTGTAAAAAGATGCTGTAGTTATGACAAGTACCAGAGGTGAATTTAGAGTTTAGCTTGACTGCCTCAGATCCCCTAAAATCAGCTGTTAGAAGTGGCCCCTGGGGAAAGCTGTTTTACATTATAACTGGGGCTCCACAGGACCTCTGCCAGAGGAGATGCATGGAGAAACAGTGATCAGTACACTTCCTAGGTCATGCCCACTCGGTGGCAACTGCTCCATACTATGCAGATAGTATCAGGAGGCTTTCAGGAGGTGAGGGCATCTCAAGCCACTGTGCCCCCATTTGAAGCAGATTCTGCTACCAGGGGCCCAAAGCTTGGGTTCCACTAGCAGAATGATCCAAGTCCTACTTTTCTGCAGCATAAACAAAACAAAACAAGTAAGAGTGTACATGTGATTCTGATGTGAGATTAATGGCTCTCACTGCTGTCAAGGAAAGTTGACAATGCACCCTCATTTTGGACATATGCCTCTGCTTTTCCAATTTTCCTGAGCCAATTAGTGACAGCCAAAAGTAGTAGAAAAGTGATATGCACTACATCAAAAAAACAGTGGACACATTTTCACTTGTGATCACATAAGGCTTGGATAAGGATCTCCAAAGATAAAAAGCTGTGTCACCAAAATCTCCTACACCATCCACATATCCTGAGCTCATTTGAAATATATTCATACAGTTAGACTGTTACTAAGAATGTGAAGATACAGTGGGCCAAAACATTTTCCTGATAGGAAAAAGACAACTTCATGATAGTTTGTTCACTGCCCCATAATCTCCTGCCACCAGCTCTACTTGAAGTAGTGAGTCAGAGGTATTCGCCCACCTAAAATCCTGCTCTATACCAGCAACATACATACATACATACACACACTTGTTCATTATGTTTACTGTATCTATTTATGGACTTATTGTAGCACCCAGTCCTTCAAAGGGATACATGCAGGTGGGCCTTTTTAGAGTTCTATTGACTTGAAGAAAATGGGACTTAGTGCAGGTGTAAGGGCCTGTGAAGAATGGGGGTCTGGGTCTATGACTTCAGAACAGAGACTTCTGGTTTTTTTACTTTGCATATTTAAATTAGCCATGAACATAGGACATTATACAAGCAATTAGAGATTGTACTTACTGGCATTTTATCACTTAGAAACCCAAGCAATGGTGAAGACAGGGAGTAGGAGAGTGCCAAACCTAGGAATACTAACCTCACATAACCAGCTGGTAATTTGAACTGTAAAATAAAATTTCACAAAAGCATGGAATTAGCAAAGTATTCCATTATCACTACATTTTAAGTTAAGTGGCTGAAGTCAATATTTTTTTTTCTTATTTTTGTGTGAAGTATATTTTTCAATACTTGGGATATCAGCTGTAGATTTTCAGTTCCCGCCCCTATCCCACATATCTTCAGTTCATCAAGTTCCATCACTCCACTGATATACACAGTTCAAGTCTAATCTCAAAAGGAAACAGATTTGCCCCCCAATCCAGAATGCTGAAACTTAATCTGGGGTGTTTGGTATTAAGTAACTCTTGTATTTACAGCTCGGATTTTTAGTTTTGTTAACAGTGAGTATAATTCTATAGTATTTATAGCTTCCTATTTGGTGCATTTATTTTACAGCATAACTTGCCTTGAAAATACTTCTCCCCCTCCCCCCCCTGCAATTTAAAAGCCCAAGATTTGATTTTTCTAAATAGTCAGATGAAAAGATATTCAGCACAGTGAATGGAAAGAAGAGAGGAAAGGAGTCTCACTGCAGTTGAAACAGAATGAGAAGCATTCTGAGGGCAACAAAAATGATTAGGGGTATGGAACAGCTTCCATGTAAGGAGTGATTAATAAGACGAGGACTTTTCAGCTTGGAAAAGAGACGACTAAGGGGGGGGGGGATATGATAGAGGTCTATAAAATCATGATTGGTATGGAGAAAGTAAATAAGGAAGTGAGAAGGAGTAAACAACACAAGAACTAGAGGTCACCAAATGAAATTAATAGGCAGCAGGTTTAAAAACAAACAAAAGGAAGTATTTCTTCACACAATGCACTGTCAACCTGTGGAGCACTTTGCCAGAGGATGTTCTGAAGGCCAAGACTATGACAGAGTTCAAAAAAAGAACTGGATAAACTCATGAAGGATAGGTCCATCAATATCTATTAGCCAGGATGGGCAGGGATGGTGTCCCTAGCCTCTGTTTGCCAGAAGCTGGGAATGGGCGACAGGGCATGGATCACTTGATGATTATCTGTTCTGTTCATTCCTTCTGGGGCAGCTGGCATTGACCCCTGTCAGAAGACAGGATAGTGGACTAGATGGACTTTTGGTCTGACCCAGTATGGCCATTCTTATGTAAGTTAGATTGTTGTAGCGTGAGCTTTGTTCACTTGCTATTTGAGTTTCCCTAGTTTTATAGGCCAATGCTACAATGCCATCAACAATTCACAAATTTAGATTTAAAGAGCTCAGTTAATTCAAATATTCCAGACTGGCAGCTACTGCAAAGTCTGAAAATACTCTTCTTACCCAATGACATGCAAGTGAACCCCCTGACATTCACATGCATTATCTGTACATACCTAGCCAGAGACAGGAAATGGGTAAGAATCAGCAATACAATATCAGGCTCATATAACACGGACAATAAGCACATTTGATAGAATAAGATTTATTAGAACATTAATCCAAATATTTTAAAATCAAAGTACTCCATATTGCTGAAGTCATTAACCCATCTCTTGCACATTAAGATGACTCACCTTCTCTGAAACGAACAGTGACATAGTAGGATCCAGAAAGCCTAAACACGCACTTAGTGAAAATATAGTAAAACAGAGAAATACAACTTTTGGCAGAGTAATGAGCATCCAGAATGATTCCTTGGTAGCGACTGCATCTGTTTTAAAAAAAGAAAAGAAACTGTGTTCTTTGGTACATGGGTTGTGTTTAATCCAATACGCTTATAACCCACTTTCTTGCTTCCAAGATTCAGTGTTCTCTCTCTCCCACTGCTTTGAAGGTAGTCATCTCATACACAAATTGAAGCAAAATTTAGAATGTTACAGGTCATCCTTGGACATTGTTACAAGATCAGATTTATTTACTTTTAAGCCTCCAGCTTGGAAACTAGACAAATGAAGAAAGCAATTGGAACTTAAATTTTCCTACTTAATACCTTCAGTTTAGAACAAAGTAATTGGGCAAATGCTTATTGAGTGACTAAGATGATAGAATAGACAAATATAAGAAATACAACCACTTTTCAGGTGCCATTGCGATGTTTTACATTTCTAAATTATGCTCCATGGGCCTGATCCTGCACACACTTCAATATGTGTATGGTCTCATTGTGCGTACAATGAGACTGCTATTTGCATGCATTATCATCTACAAGATCAGAGCCTACAGCTCTTTGTACAATGGACTTCCACATTGCAGAATTCCAAAGCTGCATAATTCAGAGTATTTTCATCCAAGCTATAAACATCTTCCGAAGACAGACAAATGGTTAACCAGCATATCTCATCTAACAGTAGTAAGCAGGATACAGACTCATATATATAGGTGGTGCTTCCTCTCCAATGATTTGTTATAATTGTCATCCTCTCCCTTTTGGGCTTCCTAAAAAGATTAGAGTCTTTAGCCATGCAGTTCCTCTCATCCTCCAATGTTAAATCACACCTGTACTCTTCTATTAGTTTCACCCTCCAGCAATCTGACGACTATCTTTTAACAGAGGCTGTTTATGCTAGATCAACAGATACCTTTTTCTCCCCAAAACTGGGCCATCCAAACTTGATCTAATAAAATGCAATCACAACATGAGACTTCAAAGAACTGCATGCAGATGGATTCTCTTCCACGTGTGAAATATATCTTGCATCGTGGAATGCAATACATAGGAATCCCTTTGTCCTTGGTACTGTAAGCCTCCAACTTGCTCAATAGCATGGTGAGACAAAAAGGTATATCTACGCTGCAAAAAGACCCACAACGGCGAGTCTCAGAGACTGGGTCAGCTACTTGGACTTGTGCTACTTGGCTAAAAATAGCAGTGTAGACATTCCTGCTCAGGCAGGAGTGGGGGCTCTGAGACCCTTCAGAGCCAGTCTCCAGCCTAAGCAGGAACAGCTACACTGCTATTTTTAGCCCAGTAGCGCAAGCCCAAGTCACAGTTGATCCAGGCTCTGAGACTCACTGCTGTGGGGTTTGTTTGTTTTTCTGTGTAGACGTACCCTAAGACAACTTATTGTTTAAAAGTCCCAAAGAGACACGTCATGTAGAAAAATCTCACTTCATTTCAATGCAACAGAGAAAGCTAGTGTTTACAGGGATGGACACAAGAGATGAGATTCATTCCAAGCCACGTGCATGCATGATTTTTAGTTATGTTCAACAAGGACCTGATCCTGCACCATTAAAATCAATTGCAGTTTTGCCACAGACTTCTTGTGCTTGATCCAGCTCCAGGGATCTCATAAGGATAGCTACATACATGAGAAATTAAAGGGTTTTACTAGAGTGAGTATGTATCTATCCATCCATCTCAAATTTGAAATATTGAACAAAGGAAGTGGAAGGAAAGGAGCCTACCGTATTTTGGTAAGAGGTACATGTTCAGAGGCACCAGGATCAGCACTAAGCATCCTAGCACTATGAAAGGGACTTCATAGCCAAAGGACTGATACAAAAAGCCACCTATAGGTGGGCCCAGCACTAGTCCAAGCCCTGTAAAAATTTCAAGACTGCCCTAAGGGGGGGAGGGAGCAAAGGAGGAGGAGGAGAGAAAGAGAACAAAGGTTAGTAGATCATTAGTAGGTCATTGATCAAGAGCTAGAACAAATCATAACCATAAACCAAAATCTTTACATGCAAGGACAGCAAAGGGAGACTGAAAAGTTGTCTGGTTAAAAGCTAAGTGAGCTTTTAAGAGGAAGACCTAATGTACTGCTTACTTTCTCAGTCTTAGCCACTCACATGATGCCTAATGTACTCAGTTCCTGGGGCAAAACATCTCCAATGCTGTTCCATATACCCAATACATCTGCAAAGAGGCCAGCAATGAAGTGACTATGAAGTTTCCCAAATACAAAATTACATTAGAACCTGAAGGGGAGAACTTAGTAAGCATATTGCAATGAATCATCATTAAGTCACCTCTTTGGGGCTTGGGTGAAAGATGCCTTAAATTAAATAACTTTTCTACCTACATACAATTGGTCAAGTTTAGCCCCTTCAACTATCTAATGAAGTCTATCAAGCTACAACAGAGATATGTTTGCCCCATTAAGTTTGGTTTCTTTTATCGGATGCAACCTCAAAGAACAGGATGAAGGGGGACCTACATGGACTTCATCTCCTCCTGTTATAGTACCATTAGTCCCCATTGCCAACATATGTTACATCATTTGATCAGCTTATATTTAGAGCATGGATTTTTCCTGAAAAAGAGTATTTAGCCATAATATCCACTGGGAAGTGATAGAACAGTGACAAGAAAGCTCACATAAGGGTATGTCTACACTAGAAAGATGTACTGCTTGCACTATACGGGCAGTGCTTTCACCAGTATAGTTATTCCTATGCAGGAAAGAGAATAACTACACTGGTAGAACTCACCTTTATACTAGTATACCTGTGTCCACATGAGGGCTTTTACTAGTATAACTATTTTTGATGTAAAAAAGCTACTCATAATTAAAATACTGGTAAAACTTAAATGCATACCAGACTTAAGTCCCCCCGCCTTTTGATCTCTTTTGAGTTAATTTGTTTAATGGGGGGGGGTTCTTTTGTTTTGTTTTTTATGTCACAATGCTATAATGTCTGTGTGGCAGTCTACTTCTGTGATTCTAGCTGCTAGCACAGGAAACGATGATTCTAGTTATTTTTCACAGACATCACATATGCCATTCTGTTATCTCTCATGGAGGAACAAGATTGACAGGTGCCAGAGACCCAAGTTCAACAAGTCCATCTTTAAGTACCTTCATGACCTGGGGCCTTGCATAGGGAAATGGAGGATTTGATCTTGTCAAAATGTTTTTTTCCCCCGCAATTAAACTTTTATTTAGCCCTCCATCCTCCCCTGCGCTTCAGCTCTCCCCCACTTCCCCAAACAAAACAAAAAATATTACTTCTAATTAAACAGCAGCACCAGTTCCTACTCCAAGTCTCCAGCCATACCCACTTCTTAGATCCCTCCTTCCATTGCTACTGGCTTGCCGTTTTTAAAGCTAGGGGACAGCATTAGTATCATGCAGGATTTGGTCAGCACTCCCTCCCTTCTGTCTCTTCCTAGTGAAGCCATCACCAATGCAGCTGGACACAACAGCATGGGGCACTTTGTAACAGTCCCACTAGAATTGATGAACCTTAGAAGAAAAAAGCCCAGCTGTGATGGTTAAACTCTTCACTGAAGTCTCTGGTTAAAACAGATTGATTCTTAAGCAGAAAGCTGTATGACAAGCCAGGCCATTTCCCTTTGTCATGTTATGTCATATGGCATACGCCATGTCATAATGGAATTCAATTTTCATGAAGACTAGATTAAGTGATTGCATTTTTAAAAAGCTTTCAAGTTGTACATTGTCTGTCAGTATCCCACCCATGTTTCAAACAACACTAGCAAATGGATCACAACAAGAATATATTAAAAATCCCTCCTCAACTAATTCTCAGAAAGTCATAAAGACTTTTTATTTTCTTACACTCCTGCATAAGTTACTGACTGAGCTCAGTTTTACATCCTCATTCCTTCCATTGTTCCAGGACCTGCATAACTTTTGTTGCACCTGAATCATGTTTATTCCTTTAGGCATTTAGCATTTTAATTTAAATTAGAGATTTATTTATTTTTTAAGCTGGAGGAGCATATGGTAGACACTTGACGCCAGCTGTAGGGTTACAGTGGCTCTTTGGTACACAAAATGCATAAAGATGTATGAGCGTCATTAAAACACTTATTCCGGACATTTGGCTATAATGTGTAGTTCTGTACATACCATTACTGTAGCTATATTATTGGGAAAAACCTTTGCAAGAATAGAAAATGAAGCTGTCACTGCTGCAGCAAAGCCTATGGCATCCATCGCTCTAACCAGAAAACACAAGCCAATGAATACTGGTCCATCAGGTGCTTTGTCCAACAAACTGAAAGAACAAGGAAATAAATGAAATTTAGCAAAATAAAAACCAAAATCCTTAAAATACAACTGTAAGGTAAACTCCTGACGTCTTCTAGAGACAGCATGGTCCAGTGGTCAAAGCACAGGGCAAGTCTCTTGCCTTCTGTGAAATGGGAATCTCTCTTACCTACCTATCACATATGTATAACATCATATAATGAAAGAGTTTGACAAGTTTAGACACCTAGCAGCCAATGGTAAGAAGCTCACCTCCACTTTTATTCCCAGTTGCTGTGAAAGGTGCTGTCTCTGGACCTTGCTTAGGGACTCCAGCTTTTTTGTATGTGCTTATGACTAGTATATATTTGATATATTAAAAGCTCCAATATCTCTGGGTATGTCTAACTGCATTATAAACCCAGTCTCAGACCCAGGCTTGAGTCCTTACTCCATTCTTCTGTACCATCCACACAAAAATATTCTGACTTGAGTCAGTAAGCTCTCAGGACCTGGGTTTTAGGACCCACCAAGGGGGGCTGTGTGTGGTGGGGTATACGAGTGAGCCCAAGCCCTGCTGTGACTCAGGTCCAAGCCTTGTCTTTTGGCAGCATGGATACAGCTCAATCCTGGTCCCCTAACTTGTGGCTAAAGAGTCTGTCACCACTATACCATCATCCTCTGGACCTGTTTCTCTCAGACCTTCATGTCCAAAACTACCCACTCAGTTCCCAGGCATTGGAAGCAATCCTTCCTTTCCATGCTGACCGTTGAACTGGGTTCAACTATCTCCTGTGTTCACTATGCCCAGCAACAAGAAGCAGCTGGTTGTATTAATATACATGGAATAAATGGGTCAAAGGTGTTAGCATAACACCGTCATTGTTTAACAATGAAATAGCATAAAACAAGGTTCGGGACTTGGGATACAAAGACTTTAGCCTCCTTAGAACCACAGCAAACACATCATTAAATATCCTTTTAATCTTTTGTTAAAGATACAGAAAAGGAAAAACAGTTAAAGCATTTGAAATGTAAAGTATTAAATACGGCTTTCATTTTAACAACATCCCTTGTCCCCTTTCCCTGTAGAGAGTTTTCAGAAGAAAAACAAAAAAACTACATGTTTGACAGTCTCTTTGATGGTATTAAAGACAGCAATAACTGTCCTTTTGGGGGAAAAGAGAAGAAGTTAGGAAATCTCCAGCCCTTCTTACCTAACTTCTTGTCTTTTCCCCCTAATGGACAGTTATTGCTGTCTTTGATACCATTGACGAGACTGTCAAACAAGGGGTCTTTTTCTTCTAAAATTGGACTTCAACAGCAGCAATGAGCTGAGATGGGCTGGAGATTTCCTCATTGCTGCTGCTGAAGTCCAATTTTAGAAGAAAAAGACCCCTTGTTTGACAGTCTCGTCAATGGTATCAAAGATGGTATAACAGTCATCCCAAGTGGCGTTTGGAATTCAGCTAGAGCTGGCAGGGATAGCAATGTCACCTGGATCCCCCTCTCTCAGGCCCATTCTAGTCAGGACACCTCTCAGGATCAGGAAGGCCAAGGGCTCTAGGAGATTATGGGGGGGCAGCTACGATGGTGAAGCTCACTGCAATAGTGTCTATCTATTCTTTGTCTGTATTTTTGTTGTTTCAGACTTTCCCCACACACACAAAAAAAAAAATTTAAGGACCCCAAAAAGAGTGATGGGTGGACTAGCCTCTACCCTTATTATTTTGTTCACCAATTAGGCCTAATATCTGAAATACCAATTTTGTTATATTAACTTCACATCTCCTGTTCATAAGACAAGAATAATTTCAACAGTCTTTGAATTATATCAACGTGGCCTTTGTGGTTTAGGCTAATTGAGCTTGTCTGTCTGGTTCTCTTGCACTCGTTACAACATTTGTTAGAACAGGTTACCGTGACATCATATGAATTTACACTCACTTTTTACAGTTAAAACTCACAATTAGGGTAAATTTCTGGGCCCATTTATCACAACAAGCCCCACACTACGTGCACTGCTAGGTGGCCATGGGAACACAGCCAGATTCTGGTTAATCTCTGGTGTGAGGCGAACAAGATACGGTTCCAGGCACCAGCCGAGCAAACAAGATGTCTGACTTCAGCAAGAGTACCAGAAATGATCACGTGTCCCAGGAAATGTTCAGAAGTGTGCGGCGTTGGGGATCCACCAGACGTCTGGTCAATGCAGAGAGAGACTCAATCAGCTCAAGACCAGCCACTGCAAAGTCAGAGATGACAGCCCACCTCTGGGAACTCCCTGCCTCTTCTACGAGGCCTTTGGCAGGGTAAAGGGTGCTGAGCTGACCACTGAGCCCATGGTGGTGCATGACAATCTGCTTAACAGGGATGGCATCCTTATAACCCCCAACTCTCAGACAGCATCAAAGGAGAGCCAGCATCCACTGGATCAAGCTCAGAAAGTGACTCTCTGGTACTTACAATGGGTCCCTGAAGAGGCTTTGCGACCAGAGCAGACACAGCACATTCAGAGATGCCGTTTGAGGATAGCCCAGAGGAACACCCCGCAGCAGCAAAAGCAGAGAAGGTAGTAGTAGTGCCAGAGCCTGGTAAGTTTCTGACCCCATCTTTGTTATTAATATATGGATGGGATAGATTTTCAGCTTATGCCCCAATGAAAATTATTACAACAAGCCAGGGGTAGCAGCATATATCAACTAATGGTGGAAGGCCTGCCAGAACCATTGTGTCACCCCACCACCTGGAATTCAAAATGAATACTGGGAAGCGAAGACAAACATTACACAAGCAGTTATGATTCAATTTTTACTTGATAATGATGCTGTCACAAAGATGTGTGGGTATGTTAAAATTAAAAGCCTTACACATAGACTTTTCTGGGGCTGCTAACAGGGAGTTTCGCAAGGGAGTTCTCCAGGTGAAGGAGGAGCAAATACAACACCCTTGGGGTAAGTGACAGTCTGTAGTGTGTGTTTGTTTGTGTATGGGGGTTACTCGCTGTGTGCTGAGCTTGTGTTTGTCCATCTGTTTGTTTGTTTGAAGGACCGTGTGCTGTGGCTGGCAGTTGGAAGCTGTGAGCTTCAAAGGAAGGTTTGAAAGCTAGAAGCCTCTGTTAATTGGCTGAGCCTTACTCAGTGGGCAGGGCTATCAAGCAGGCCAGGGCTTTATAAAGCAGTGCACAAGCGACCAGGGAGCTTTGCAAACGGGGGCTGCTAACAGGGAGTTTCGCAAGGGAGTTTGGAAGGGGAGCGGGAAGGGGGCAAGGGCCCCTTGCTGTTGTTTTTGCTGTAAAACCTATAAACTAAACTACAATCCAAACTTCTTGCTTTAAACAACCCCTTCATTAACTAGAAGACAATGCAGGCAGACACCCAGCAGCAGAGTGGGGGCTATCCAGTTTATTGCACTGAGTGCGGCATGTATGATTACCTGCCCTGTGGGCTAGTGGCGTATGTGTGCAAGCGGTGCAAGGAGCTCCTGGCTCTCAGAGACCGCGTATGGGCTTTGGAGGCCAGGGTGGCGGAACTGGAGGAGCTAAGGGAGGCAGAGAGGTATGGTGATGAGGCTTTCCGGGACACTGTAGAATTGTCCCACCTCCGGTCAGACAGCCCCTGCGCTGTTGAGGAGGATGAAAGGCCCAGGGAAGCAGAGCAGTCTACGGGAGCAGAGGGAAACCTTCCCATAGTTGGGACCCTCCTTCCAGATGGTGTTGGGGTATCCTCTCTCCCTCCGGGGGAGGGAACTCCAGTTACTAGGAAAAGGTGGATGTTAGCAGGGCCGGCTCCAGGAACCAGCCGAGCAAGCTGGTGCTTGGGGCGGCAGCTTGTAGGAGATGGCATTCCGCCTAATCCTAGGGCGGCACGGCCGCTTCCCCCCCCCCATTCCGGCTGCCCTGTAGGGGGCGGCGGCGTGGAGGATGGGAGCGCCCTGCAGCAAGCCCGGCAGGGCAGCCCATGTCCTTCCCTCCCAGCCGACCGGAGCAGTGCGGAGCCCTCCCGGCAGGAGGCACGGCGGGAGGGGCCACGTGGCAGCGCCCCGCTGAAGCCCTGGCTGCCCCCCTTCTCTCTCTCCCTCTGCTTCCCCCCCGCTAGCCGGGGCACATCTGCAAGGCAGGGAATGCCCCTGCACCCTGGCTCTGGCCACGCCACAGGGGTTTTTTTTTTTCCCCTTTGCTTTGCTGTTCTGGCTGCTGCGGTTTTTGTTTGTTTGTTTGGGGCGGCCAGAAAGCCAGAGCCGGCCCTGGGTGTTAGTAATGGGAGATTTGATAATTAGAAACATAGATAGCTGGGTTTGTGATGACCGGGAGAACCATATGGTGACTTGCCTGCCTGGTGCGAAGGTTGCAGATCTCTCGAGGCATCTAGACAGACTTATGTGTAGTACTGGGGAGGAGTCAGTGGTCATGGTACATGTAGGTACCAGTGACATAGGGAAGGGTAGGAGAGACATCCTGGAGACCAAATTTAGGCTGCTAGGGAAGAGACTGAAATCCAGGACCTCTATGGTGGCATTCTCAGAAATGCTCCCAATTCCACATGTAGGGCCAGGTAGGCAGGCAGAGCTTCAGAGTCTCAATGCGTGGATGAGACGCTGGTGTAGAGAGGAGGGGTTTAGATTCATTAAGAACTGGGGAAACATTTGGGATGGGGGGAGCCTATACAGGAGAGATGGGCTCCACCTAAACCAAAGTGGAACCAGACTGCTGGCACTAAACATTAAAAAGGTCGTAGAGCAGTTTTGAAACTAGGAGATGGGGGAAAGCCGACTGCTGCAGAGGAGCATGTGGATCGGACAGAGACTTCTCTTAGAGGAGAGTCTATTGATAGAGATTTTCTAGGTTATAGTCAGGAACAGAGGATGGAAGAGGATAACGTAAAGGCCAGATCAGATGAGAAACATTCACATAAAGAATCTGACACATCAGAAAAGGGCAGACAAATAAACAGTGACAAGTTTTTAAAGTGCTTATACACAAATGCTAGAAATCTAAATAATAAGATGGGTGAACTAGAGTGCCTCGTG